TCTTTTTTTGTGTGGCTATTGTGAATGGAATTGTGCTTTTTATTTGGGTTTCTGTTTGTTTATTATTGGTGTAAAGAAATGCAATTGTCTTTTGTCCATTTATTTTGTATCCTGAGACTTTGCCAAAGGACTTTATCAGTGTAAGGAGATTTTTGACAGATTCTCTTGGGTTTTCAAGGTACACAATCATATCATCTGCAAAGATAGATAACTTGACTTCCTCCTTTCCTATTTGGATACTCCTGATTGCCTTCTTTTCTCCGATTGCTTGAGCCTGGACTTCCAATACAATATTGAACAGGAGGGGTGAGAGTGGGCATCCTTGTCTTGTTCCAGTTTTCAGGGGAAATGGTTCCAATTTTTGTTCATTTAGGGGGTTTCTCATAGATGGGTTTTACTATTTTGAGGTATGTTCCCTGTATGCCTAGATGTTTGAGGGTTTTTATCAAGAAGGGGTGCTGGATTTTATCAAAAGCTTTTTCTGCATCTAATGATATAATCATGTGGTTTTTGTTTTGACATCTGTTGATGTATTTAATTACATTTATGGTTTTACGAATGTTGAACCAGCCTTGCATCCCAGGAATGAAGCCTACTTGGTCATGATGGATGATTTTTGAGATGTATTGCTGAATCCGGTTTGCTAGGATCTTGTTGAAGATTTTAGCATCTATGTTCATCAAAGATATTGGCCTGTAGTTCTCTTTCTTTGTTGGGTCTTTACCTGGCTTGAGTATCAATGTGATGTTGGCTTCGAAAAATGATTTGGGCAGAGTTCCATCTTTTTCAACTGCCTGGAATACCTTCAGTAGGATTGGTATCAGCTTCTCCTTGAATGTCTTGTAGAATTCTGCTGGAAAGCCATCTGGACCAGGGCTTTTTTTTTGTAAGTAGTTTTCTTATTATGTAGTTGATTTCCTTGATTGTTATTGGTCTATTTAGGGTCTCAATTTCTTCTTCTTCCAACCTAGGTACGTTGTGTCAGGTCAGAAAGTCCTCCACTTCCTTAAGGTTTTCAAGTTTATTTCCATACAAGTGTACGTAATAGTCTCCAATGATCTTTTGTCTTTCTTCAGGGTTAGATGTGAGTTGATCTTTTGTGTTTCTGATTGTCCTTATTTGGGTTTTTTCTTGGTCAGTCTAGCTAGGGGACCATCGATCTTGTTTATCCTTTCGAAGAACCAGCTTTTTATTTCATTGTTTTTT